GAACCGTGGCATCCCTAATATATATATATATATATATATATATATATATATATATATATATATATATATATATATATATATATATATACACACCTTTATTATATAGATGGATAGATGGATGGATGGATGAGTGGGTACTTAGGTAGGTAGATAGATAGATAGATAGATAGATAGATAGATAGATAGATAGATAGATAGATAGATAGATAGATAGATAGATAGATAGATAGATAGATAGATAGATAGATAGATAGATAGATAGATAGATAGATAGATAGATAGATAGATAGATTTTTTTATCTTTGTTGAGTGTTTCTTGGGTTTTGTTGTATATAGTTAAAAATCTAAAAAGTTCAATAAAAAAATACAATGTAAAAAAGTTAAAATGAAATAAATTTCACTTAAGAAATTCACTTTTTATAACATTGGCAGTAATAAATTTGGCTCTGATTAAAATGCAAGCACTTGTCAACTCAATGCTTTGAATTTTCATGTAGTGCTATTCAACAACCTGTTTTGTTTCAAAGACATTTGGCATTATTTTGCTTCCATAATTCACATTCATTTCATCAGCTGTCAGTGAGTTAAATCTAATGCAGTTTACCACATAATAAACATTTTTGAGAGTTTGGCTTCAGAATGAATGGGGGTTCAAAAGTAGATGGCAGAAAAGCTTTACTACTAAAAATTATTCAAATATAAGGTGTCACAGTGGGTGGCACGATCGCCTCACAACTACAAGTTTGCTGATTTGAGGCCCTGCTGAGGCGGTTGGTACTTCGGTGTGGAGTTTGTGTGGGTTTGCTCCGACAGAATTAAAGCAATTTTTAATTTTTAGGACAAAATTATTAGCCCCTTTAAGCAATTTTTTTTCCGATCATCTTTATACAGACCCATCTTTATACAATAACTTGCCTAATTACCCTAATCTGCCTAGTTAACCTAATTAAGCCTTTAAATGTCTCTTTAAGCTGTATTGAGGTGTCTTGAAAAATATCTAGTCAAATATTATTTTCTGTCATCATGGCAAAGATAAAATAAAATCAGCTAATAGAAATGAGTCATTAAAACTATAATGATTAGAAATGTGTTGAATAAATCTCTCTGTTAAACAGAAATTGGGGAAAAATAAACAGGGGGGCTAATAGTTCTGACTTCAGCTGTACCTGTGGTAAATAATCATCCATTGTTGTTTTCATAGTGCTTGTAAAAGTCATGAAAATAGTATTCGAGCTCAAACTTTTTGAATATTATGTTGTTATTATTTTAGCGCAGTATTTTAACATTTTTTTAATGTATGAGCAAAATAGCTGCCTTTTTTTATTATGGGTCATGGAAATTCAGCTTTTTAGTCAGTTATAGTCAGGGATTTTGAGATAAGTGGGCACTTGAACAAAGTGGGTGTTTGATTCCAGCACTGAAAAAGAAGTGTTAATACTGGATGCAGTTTAACAGAGAACGAAACCTAACTGGTTATAATTCAAGTGCTGAAACTTGCATTAACATTGAGCTCCCAATTCAAAAGAAAAGAGGAAAGAATAAAGGTTTGCATTCAGTAAGATTTTAAAATTAAATTATAATTAATATCTTATTTAGCAAGACTTTTTTTACGAATTTCTATTCATCAGTGTATTCTGAAATAAAAAAGCAACTGCTTTCAACATCGAAAATGAAAACTATTATTAATAAATGAGTAGCAATTAATAATAACTGAATTATTAATGAATTATTAAATAATTAAACTGATTTCAAAATGATTAAGACAGAAGAAGTTATTAATGATGCTGAAAATTCAGCTTTGACCTCACAGAAATATTTCTGTATATAAAATAAGTGTTAAAGACTATATTAAAATAAAAAATATATATAGTTAGGTCCATAAATAATTGGACATTGGGGCAATCCTAACATTTTTGGCTCTATACACAAAACACAGTCGATTTAAAATTAAACAAGATGAGCTTTACCTGCAGACTGTGAGCTTTAATTTGAGGTTATTTACATTCAAATCAGGTGAACGGTGTAGGAATTACAACAGTTTGCATATGTGCCTCGCACTTGTTAAGGGTTCAAAAGTAATTGGACAGTATAACTGTATATTTACTTTATTTCATCATTCAATAAAAATATGAAACAATATTTCTGTTTTAACGCTACTTTTGATTAAAGAAATGCAGGCTTGGTATACAGAAGAGAATTCTTTAACCTTTGAACAATAATAGTAGTGTAGAATTTGCTTTAAATAGATCAAGATATTTTACAGTGTACCTATTTTGTGATATAAATATTCAGAAATGTGATTCTCTTAAAAATTACATGTTTATTTGCTTGAATTTCAGAATGTTGCAGTGCAAAACAGTTTTTAAAGGGGTGTTTTTTTATTGCAAAATATAATGTACGTTTTACAAACAGCCTGATGTGTTTTAATAGGTTGTTGGATAAACCGATGTACACTGTTAAAAATTGTCCCGTTAAAAAACGGTAAAATACTGGCAGCTGCAGTTGCCAGCAATGTACTGTTATTTTATAGTATGTTGCTGTAAAAATACATGGACTACATTGAAATTCACAACACTCAAGTGAACTCATTTTGTTTACTGAAAGCAACTGCCTCAAATTTGCCAAAAGCTGTATGAGTTTATGAAGTAATGTGCTATAGAAGCATGTTTATAATGATAACTTATTTTAGTTAATTAGAAAAGTTCTGTTTGACTCAAATGTCTTAAATTTCACATCAGCACACATACATGTAAAGTTGGAATTAACAAAGAGAGATTCTGACTGCATCAGCAACTGATCAGCCACTGTCTTTAAATAAAGAAAAATACAGAATAACATCAGCAGTTCATTGTTCATCTTTAACTCATACACTGGCTCTACTCTCCTCCACAACGGTGACACACAGAAGAAATTTGCTTCAGGTTTTACAGTATAATATTGTTTTTTCCTTGATTTAACGGTAAACTACTGGCAGCTGTGGTTGCCAGCAATCTACTGTTTTTTTACAGTCTACTTCCGTAGTTTAAATTAACAGTATATTCCTGCTAAAATACATTTTTACACTCTTTTAAACTCCATTCATTTAACCCTTTAAACCACAGAGCATATACTCCAGATTTAATTGAAGTGTCCACACTACTGAGTGTTCAAGAAACATGTAGCAAAGCTGAAGTAAATGAATTAATTAAATGACTAATTAAATGATGATTGAGGATTAACAATGAACAAATGAAGAAATACTGAAGGGAAAAAACAAGAACAGAACATACAAAACTACAACTTTAGTCACAGCTTTATAATGAAATAACCTGAAGAACAACAAATGATTAAATCATTTAAATGATCAGCGGATGATTAAACAACTCTACAAACATCATCACCAGCTACACTTATTACTTAATACATTTATTTTTGTATAACATTTACTAAAGTTCTTCTTGAGAAAAAAGTTAAAGTTTTACGTCACCATCATGGAGAAAAGAGTTTGCTTTAGTTGGGCTCTCAGCCCTGATATTTTTATCATTAACATATCTTGGCTGCTGCAATTGTTAAGAACTTTGTTTAAAAAAGCTCTTTTGATGTGGCAAGCCAGCTAAAAACCTAAATATGAGCTGGTGATGTTCATGTTGCTATTAAACGGTAGAATCTGTTCTAATTAAGTATAATATAATTTACTGCTCCTATTCAATGTTTAATCTATTGTTTCACATTTTAGGTCTATATGTGGCAATGATTTCTGGAAGTTTTAAGAATATCTTGGACTAAAACACTTTGCTCTATGACTTTATTAGCACTCAAACAGACGTCAGTAATCGGCGTATGAACCTCAATAATGGTGACAACTAACAAAATGAACAGTTTAACTCACAAACAGGCAACTGAAAGTCTAAACATAAACAAAAGCAGAATCAAACATAAATAAAGAAAACCGTGAGACTATTATACAACATTTATTCATGCCGCAATGCATGCTGGGATATTTGTACTGTGCCTCACCCAGCATGCATTGCTGCATGAAACATTTGAACTGTTACCATTGTTGAGATACAAGGTCTGATTCATGAGGTCTGAGTGTGTCTTTGTCATAACTGAACTGTTTTTGTATGTTATTTCTTAACTGTTAAGTATTTACGTAGGTATTTAATCTGTTTCCACTTCTCATAAATTAAAGAAACATCTGCATAAAATCTATTGTATGAGGCCCTTCATCCAGGTTTGTACTAAACATTTATCAGAAGTAATTTCAGACAAATAGATTAATCTATCTATTGCCTTTCCCACTTTACTACTATAATAAAAGTGTTTTTGTTAACTCTGTATTAGTTGGAGAGTCTGAATTTTGAGTCCATGGGTGAAGACCCCAACTAAACCAGCCCCTCACTCCATTATGGTGACTTACGGCTAAATTTCTGTTGGATCTCAATGAGAATTGTATGGAAGTCAAATCAGTCAGTAATAAGTGTGTCTGCTGTTGTTTGTGGAGTTGTTTAATGATCCTCTGCTGAGACTGAAAGTGTTTTATTTTACTTGATTTTATTTAATGTTGTAACTCAAGTGTTGTTTGTGTTTCTTGTTTCTCTTTCCTTCAGTAATTGTGATTATTAACAGCAGGTGTTTATCAGTGTCTGAATTCACTCATTAGTGTTCATTAACTCTGTCAGATGAACTATATTGATAAACTAGTTGATGGAATAGTGAACAAGGGCACAAAGTGTGATTTTAAACACAGACTTCAAAATGTCGAATCTGAACTCTGTTAGCTCACAGTTTTCTGCTGTTGGTTACTTTCTCGAAAACAAAAATGTTACACAGAATGCACTGTTTTTAACCGAATATTACTTTTTTAGTGGAAAAAACATTATTTTCTGACCGTTTTTTAGCAGCAATTTTTTACAGTGTAATACATGGAAATGTAGCAGTCAAATAAGGCACATGATAAATATCAGCTACAGAAAAATCATTGAATTTCACTTCAGTCAGTCACTTACTCAAGATAAAAGAACAGTATCCCTTAATTCACTTTATGGCATTAGTCATTTCTCCATTCGTGGCTATTAAAATAGAATGACCTGTCATAAATACATTAGAGTGTCTCAATGTGCTACAGTCAGTTTTTCGTACATCAATATATTAAGACTTGCTGTATATTTATACAGATTTTATTTGATTTAAAAACATCTCGATCTTGTCAGTGCTACAGGACGAAGGGCAGGATTGGTGAGCGCAGTGTGGGGTACTCCTTGAACTCCTTTAGGTAACTGCGATGCTTTCCTTTGGCCCAGACCGTCATCTGGATGAATCCCACCACGGTGAAGAACAAGACAGGCACACACTGGGTCATGAGCGTGAATCCAAGCCAAGATCCCACCTGCAAAAGCACAATTCAGTATCTATTGCTACTCGATGTGGCCAGTAGAGGTCAGCCCTGCATTACTATTAAGGGTTCTTTCTCTCAAACATGCAAAGTAAAGACCAGAATTAGGGAAAACGTTTATAAACATGCATAATTCGATCTAAAAAGTCTCTTACAGACATTACCACACTCTTTGTTAGTTTAAAATCTCATATTTCTTAGTAGCAGTGCTTTTATGTCTGCTTCATATCGGGAGGCTTTTTCAGTTCATTCATAACAATTTGCTTTTGTATACTGTTGTTATTATTAGCAGTATTATTTATTATATCTATATTTATATTTGTTTTATTTAAAACAAGCTTAGATTTGCCCATCTTCAGGTTTTAGACCATATGGGGCACAGCATGTGTTTTAGGATATAACTCCGGTTTTTGAACACACTTCGTTATTATTGTTCATTTATTCATTTGCTGGAAATTAGAACTAAATTTAGAAATAGTTTTAAAACTAATAATTGCACTTAACTAACAAAATTAATTATTTTTAGACTAATTGATGTCTGTGCTTAAAGGTTTCCCTATCCACGAGAGCGAAAGTGAAAGTAGATCATTTATCTCTCATTTTTCGCGCAGTAGATGCTCTGTTTAAGTGTTTTCTTGCTTGTGAAATGCTCAGTTTTTTCACTTAGACTTACTTTACGTCATGTAAATAGCAAATGCGCTTATGGCGCGACACAACTGACTCTTAAATGGAATGGGAGATGAGATTCTGTTTGTTTTATTCTCAAAACACACCTATAACTCATTAAGAAAATAAACTCAACCCTTTTAGACCATGCGCCACGGCGCAAAGCGGATTTTTCCATACTTATATTAGAAAAAATGCGTTCTGACACGCCCTGAAAGTGTTTGCGCCCTGCGCTTTGCGCTTTGCGCTTGGACCATCAAAATAGAGCCCCCTCCCTCTTTAGTGCCGAGTTTTGTTATACTGTTTGTGAACATTATAATGTGGTTTGTTTGCCCTGTTTTTGACCTTTGCTTTGTTTATTTACTTTGTCTGCTGCCTGCCTTTTGACCATCTGCCTGTTTACTGACTCTGGATTTCCTGTACAGGCTACATCTGTTTGCCTGTGTTGACCATTGCTTGCCTGACCTTTCTCTGTTTAATAAACCCTGCATTTGGATCCTCACCTCTGTTGTTGGCAGATTTAGGGCTTCACAATTTTTCTAGCCTCTCTTGTAAAGTCCTACACACTTTTTTTATTGGTCGTGTTTTCTTTTAAGAATAAGGTCTTAGATTTATAGAATTAAAGTCCCTTGTCAAATGTTTTCTCTTTTTAAAAACAATACAGTAGCAAAAGATGTCTTCACTTAGATGTTTTTATGCACAACTGGATGTCTGACTCTTGAAAAATAATTGTTTGCATTGACCAAGACTGATAAACTGAAGTCACACCCGGATTTCGGGTCTTGAAGCTTTTTTCGATGGGTTATTTTCACTATTTATAAAATTCTGGCTTTATAAATCAGAATTCTGAATTTATAACTCGAAATTCTGACTTCATAACTTAAAATTTCTACTTTATAACTTAAAATTCTGACTTTATAACTCAGAATTACGACTTTATAACTCAGAATTACGACTTTATAACTCAGAATTTTGACTTTATTACTCAGAATTCTGACTTTAGAACTCGAAATTGTAACTTTATGACTCAGAATTCTTACTTTATAACTCAGAATTGCAACCTTACAACTCAAAGTCTGACTTTACAACTCAGAATTGCACTTTTATTACTCAGAATTCTGACTTTATAAATTGGAATTGCGACTTTATAACTCAGAGTTCTGACTTTATAACTCGGAATTTTCTATGGGTTATTTTCACCATTTATGATGGCAAAGCAGTCAAAATAGGACATGTATGCGACAAATTTTGGACCTTTGTTAGTGAGGGGTGAGTCTTCCAAACTACCCAAACCTCCCCCCCCCCAAGCCAGAGGCCCGAGAAACAGGGTAGAAAAAAGTGATTTGCTACCATTTGATTGGATAATCAGATATTAAAAAACAGCTGAACAGGTGTATAGAGTGGCTTAGTGAGTCTGCACTAAATGGTTATCATCACTGCAATTTCATTATCATCACTGCAACACTACAATACATAAAATCATTTACAGCACAATCATTCATGCATCTCACCTCGTATGTGTAGTTTGGACACGAAACAAGTGCAAATATCCAAGTAAAAGGATTCTTTGTTGGATAAGGAATCTTCTTAGTCTTTGAGCCTTCGTAAAAAACAATATCATATCAACAAAACCTGTGTTTGACTTGAGAGTTTGGATTTTTTTAAAAATATATATTTTATAGACTCACCAGGTAGTTTAAGACTGCGCAGAGCCATATGAATTGAGAAGCTTCCAAGTTGGCAGAACTACAAACATTACAAGTCATTAAATGAAGAGGTTTGATAAAACTGATACATTATACATTACAGGAGTTATATCAGCGAAATTGCTTACTAGGAAGATTCCCAGCGCTGTCTTTACCTGCTTCTCACCATAATCTGCACATAAACATATTGAATTTAACAACAGCTATTTAGTGCAGTAATAATGAACACAATAATATGGTAGATATGGGTTACATACATGGCGTTGTGTAGAGAGGGTGATTGATGTAATAAGCCATCCATGCAGCAAAGCACCAGTGATATATGCAGTTCTGTTGAAGAAACAATTACTTGATGAAAAGACACAATGTTTTCAATCAGTGTAAGCGTCCGTATCATAAGTTAGGTGTAAGTTGATCATTTTATTTTGTTCTCCTACAATTGGTTTACATCCATACAGTTTTATGCAAAAGTTTGGGCACCCCTGATCATTTTTCAGAAATACAAGCCTGCTGTTCTGTCAAATCAGCAATTTCATTTGGAAATATTTTATCCCCTGTGAAAAAGCAACATTTCAATTCTGACATAACATTTGTTTGATCAACAGATGCAATGCAATTTAGGTCATAAAAAAAATCTTTTGAATCTTTTCTAGCGTCACCTTTTGTTGTAGTAAAAGCCTGTAGATGCTTTTTATAGTCAAGCATGAGTTCCTGAATTCTTGCTGAAGGCATTTTGTACTATTCTTCCTTGCATCATTTCTCCAGTTCAGTCAGGTTTGATGGGTGCTGACACTGCTGAGCGTGAACAGCCCTTTTCAAATCAATCCATAGATGTTCGATGATGTTTAAGTCTGGGGACTGACATGGCTACTCTATGGGATATTGTATCACGTCGGAGCATTAATTCCTTGGTACATCAGGAACTGTGCTCAGGGTCATAGTCCTGTTGAAACATCCAGCCCTTCCACAACTTCATCCTGAATATTGTTCTACAGAATCTGCTGATACTGGGCGGAATCCATGCAACCTTTAACTCTGACAAGGTTTCCAGTATTGTGCTTGCCATACATTCACACAGCATGATAGACCCTCCATCAAATTTTACAGTAAGGAGCAAGTTCTTCCCCTGGAATGCTGTGTTCTTTTTCCACCATGCAAAGTGCCTATGGTTGTGGCATCTGTCCACAGTATATTTTTCCAAAATGATTTATTCTTGTCCAGCCTTTGCATACCTCAAACGACTCATCCTTCCATTAAGCCGTGCTTTGTGAAGAATGTGCTGGACTGTGGACATTATCAGCAGCAAGACATTACTGGAGCTCTTTGGAGGTGGTCTGTGGTTTGTCTGTGACCATTCTAAACATTCTACACGCTTCTCAACATCTACCACATCTTTTCTTCACAAGAACTGTTCCTGTGGCCAGTTCTGAAACAAAAATGGGAACTGTTCCTGTGGCCAGTTCCCATTTTTGTACTATATTTCTGAAATTTGGCTTATGGGCCCGTTTGGCCATCTCTGCTTTAAACTATTATAAATGTCATTAAAAGTCACTTTTTTAAGGTGAAAAGTTGTTGGAAGAAAGATTAAGGGTACATAACACAACTCAAAAGTAAAAAAAAAATTGTAAAAAATAAAATAAAATAAAAACATTAATCACAAAATATGGAAAACTGCAAATTTACAGATCTTTTTACTGTGTAGCTGTCAGCATGTTTTGAAAAACAAAACTTATTTCAATATTTTTGATCGATTAATGCAGTCTGGGGTATTACATTTTTTTAAAGAGCCTGTTTTATGTATTATAAAAAGGTCAATCATCAGAAAAATTACAGGAACAAACACAGCACATACTGTGGTCATTCATTCAATTCAATTCATCTTTATTTGTATAGCACTTTTACAATGTAGATTGTGTCAAAGCAGCTTCACATAGAAGATTATAGTGAACTGAAACTGTGTAGTTCAATTTTCAGAGTTTAAGCTCCGTTCAGTTTAGATTAGCTCAGTTCAGTTCAATGTGTTTTAATATTTACTGCTGTGAGTCCTGAATCACTGGGAAACATCCATACACACATTCACACACATACACTACGGACAAGCAAGTTAACCCAGTTCACCTTTACCACATGTCTTTGGACTTGTATAAGGGAAACCGGAACACCCGGAGGAAACCCAAGCGAACACGGGGAGAACATGCAAACTTCACACAGATACGCCAACTGACCCAGCCAAGGATCGAACCAGTGAACTTTTTGCTGTAGTGACAGCACTACCTACTGCGCCACCGCATCTCGGGTATACTGTGGTATTGTTGTGAAAATGAACTTTAACCCTTTATTCCCCACAGCCTCATAACTGGCCGCATATCTGGCTAACCATAGTTTGACTCTTTCCCTGAAGAATCAAGTTTTAAACATGGTGAACTTTAAGATTTAAACCTTAGCTGGATGCTTTCATTCACTGAGAGTTGTTTTACACTGCAAGGAAGGTGATTTTCAAAAACCCATAATAGGAGCTCTTTAAATGCATTACAAAATACTAAATCATACCGATTCCAGAGGGAATTTACATACAGTTAAAGTCAGGATTGTCAGCCCCCCTGAATTATTAGCCCCCCGTTTATTTTTTCCCCGATTTCTCTTTAACAGAAAGAAAAATTTTTCAACACATTTCTAAACATAATAGAATTATTAACTCATTTCTAATAACTGATTTATTTTATCTTTGCCATGATGACAGTAAATTGTATTTTACTAATCATTTATCAAGACACTTCTATACGGCTTAAAGTGACATTAAAAGGCTTAACTAGGTTAATTAGGTTAACTAGGCAGGTTAGGGTAATTAGGCAAGTTATTGTATAACGATGGTTTGACTATCGAAAAAATATAGCTTCAAGGGGCAAATAATTTTGACCTTAAAATTGTTTTTAAAAAACTAAAAACTGCTTTCATTCTTGCCAAAATAAAACAAATAAGACTTTCTCCAGAAGAAAAAATATTATCAGACACACTGTGAATATTTCCTTGCTCTATTTAACATAATTAAAAAAGAAAAAAAAAATCAAAGGGGAGCTAATAATTCTGACTTCAACTATATATAGCAAACCCACACACAATTGCAACTTATACTCACTTTAAAAATGTTACGAAATGGCATGGTGCCATGGGAGAAGCGATGGACAAACAATGTCTCCATGATCCTCTTTGCATAGTGGAAGGTGTGACAGGCACAGGCTATACTGTGGAGAACAGACAGAAGCTCAGTTCAACAGGTTCAGCTTAACCATCAAATAAAAGTTTATTCCTGAGAGACATCAATCAGACGCTTCTCAACATCATTCCCAAAATACACTTATGGGTCAGTATCTTCCTTGACCAGTAGGTCAGCTGTTAGGAGACACTGTTCCCACTTTGTGTGGATTCAAGCCAACAGACTCAAAGAAAATCACCTCTGTGGGCATGCAATGATACTTACTGCACAACTAAATGTTTACTGGCGGTGAAATCGTACTTGGGAGCGTAGATTAAGGGCAGTCTGAAATAAAACAGCAGGTACAGGACAAGTGGTCCAATGCACTCGATTAAGAACACCTGCAAACACACATTCAGGCTGATGAAGTCAACATATGAAAGAGCTCAAGCCATTTAAATTCTGTAAGAATGTGAAGAATGTGAAATATGATATTCTGGAAGAAAATGTAGATCAAGGCTTACAATGGGCCATCACAAAAGCCCTTTTAGTTATTTATTATTATCATTCTTTATTTTTTACAGGGAAATGCATTATATTAAGAAGCATCTGTAAAAACACAAATATGTTGTGAGCACTGAAGTTGACATTAATCCATTGTGCTCCATTTTATGTTTGGTGCAGTAAGAAGCGATGTTAGAACTCAAGAAGCAAGCTAGAAGCAATAAGTTCCCTGGTTCAAGCCTCGGCTGGGTCAATTGGCATTTCTGTGTGGAGTTTGCATGTTCTCCCCTTGTTCATGTGAGTTTTCCTCTGGGTGCTCCGGTTTCATCCAACAAGTCCAAAGACATGTGCTATAGGTGAATTGGGTGAGCTAAATTGTCCATAGTGTATGTGTGTGAATGAAAGTGTATGGCTGGCTGTTTCCCGGTGATGGGTTACTGCTGGAAGGGCATCCTCTGTGTAAAACATAAGCTGGATAAGTTAGTGGTTCATTCAGATGTTGTGACCCCTGATTAATAAACGGAATGAGCCAAAAAGAAGAGTATTAAATATTTATATTAATATATATATCCAGCCATACACTTTCTTTTTTATCTACATTAATTTCACTGTAATATAGGAATTAATTTAGATTAATCTAGATTAAAATGGCTCATTTGAATTCTGCTGAAGGTATTCAGAATATGTGTGCTACCTAAATAATGATGACTAATAAATATAAGTCTTTGAGAATAGATTTCTCAAGCAAGGTGGTGCATTAGACCAGGGGCTCACCTTCTGTTTCCAAAATGCATCACAAACTGCTTGAGAAACTGTCCTATGATTATTGGTGATGAAAATAAAAGATTCAATAAGATGCAGGCACGTGCACACATAGGGCTTAACCTGTGCAGTGCACATGCCCTTTTTGGTGTTGGATAGAAAGTGCCCTTCCAAAATGATGTAAAGTGCCCCTGCGACACAACCCCCCTCCCCCCTATACCACCCTTCAGTAGGCGCACTACAACACCACTCTTGAGTCTCGACAACAACGATAACAACAACAACAACAACAACATTCCATTTGGCGTGTGTTATTAAATTCTCTCACCAGTCCTTACTCCCTATTTGTGTCTAATACTCCAGTTTGTCATGGGGGCATGAATGAAATGTTCATGAGTGAATGTGAAACTGCAGAACTGCAGTTTAAGTCACCCCAAATTACAGAAAACTTCCATGTAAACGTAGTCAGTAGTGTCTTCGAAGTAAATAAAAGATCCAAAAGGGCATCCTGCTGATTTGATTCAGAAGGGCACTTTTTTGTCAGAGGGCTCACGGGTCAGGTATACATCCGCACTAAAATATAAAGGTGAAAGTCATCATAGCTTGCATAGAATAGACCTATAGCTCAAACAGTCTCGCGTTAATGCACCACGTTAACACTGATAACAGCCCACCACCAAATTATATACTCACAGGCCACTTTATTATAATTACCATATACACTTACTGGCAACTTTACTAGGGACACCATACCAGCACCAAGTTGGACCAACTTTTGACTTCAGAACTGCTTTAATACTTTCTGGTATAGAATCAACAAGGTACAGGAAATATTCCTCAGAGAGTTTGGCCCATACTGGCATGATAGCATCAAGCAGTTGTTGCAGATTTGTCGGCTGCACATCCATGAATCTCCAATTCCACCACATCCCAAAGGTGCTCTGTTAGATTGAGATGACTGGTGACTCTGGGGGCCATTTGAATGTGGCACTGATTTCACCCAATTCAAAGTCAATCAAATCAACTTTCTTACCTATTGTGATGCTCTGTTTGAAGTGCAGCAAATCATCTTGACCATGTGTACATGCCTAAATGCATTGAGTTGCTGCCATGTGATTGGCTAATTAGAAATTTGCTTTAACAAAGTGTGTACCTAATATAGTGTCTGGTAAGTGTATGTTTGCTTTATATATATATATATATATATATATATATATATATATATATATATATATATATATATATATATATATATATATATATATATATATATATATATAGATAGATAGATAGATAGATAGATAGATAGATAGATAGATAGATAGACAGACAGACAGACAGACAGACAGACAGACAGATAGATAGATAGATAGATAGATAGATAGATAGATAGATAGATAGATAGATAGATAGATAGATAGATAGATAGATAGATAGATAGATAGATGTACATATTGTGTTTTTATACAAAATAAATACTAAAAAATAAATACTATAAATAATTCACTTTTACATACCAGGGTATAGTAGAAAAGACTAAAAAATAGAAATGTATAATGTCAAATATTCGGATTCCAGATTTTCAATGGAAAGCTTTATTATTCAGCTTTCAGATTATATATAAATCTTAATTTCCCAAAAAAAAATCTGAGTCCAGGGTCATAAATTACAGTGTATGACTGACATCATGCATTCCTTTGGAAGTCAGGATAGGGGGGAATATAAGGGGGCCACACATGCCCAAGGTGAACGTAAGGTGACCGGGATCAACACCTGTGGGTAAACACTGCCAAAGAGATTACAGGTTCTGAGAAAGAGATTGATTACAGGGAAGGTGAGAGAAAACTAAACCTGAGTCCTGTGCACATACTGTACAGACCCTGAGTTGACTTTTACATGAGCTAAACACACACAGCCAGACTCTTTACCCTATAACATATCAGTGGAAGTTTACACATAGATTACAATTCTGAATTTAAATGCTGATTGGATGAGCCGTTGTAAAATGCTACTGATTGCACACAGCTGTATAATATAATTAATGCGCCTGCTGTCATTAACTCTGGTCACAGAACAAAAAACAATTTGACTAAACCAAATATTTAACTATATTTGAGGTATATATGTGAAAGTTAAAGAGCAATAAAGGATGTTTACATAAATTATAAAGTCTGTTAATCTTTAAAAAAAAAACATCTCAATGATTAACATTTCAAGCAGTAAAGATACATTACATTGCCACCATAAACTGCACCAAATTGCATTTACTCAGTTTGGATTTATGAGTAAAAAGTACATATTTTGTCCACCTCAAATATAAGATCCATATTCCATTTTATTATACATAATTTGTATGACGATTCATTAAATATGACACATAAAACACACATGTTCAGCTACTTTTATGGGGATTTCTTATAAACATCATGATTTTTATAGACTATATCCTTCTACACCCTTCTATCCCTAAACCCAACCCTCACAGAAACATTCTGCATTTTTACATTTTGAAAATACTTCATTCTGAGTGATTTATGAGCCGTATTCATTATAGAGACCAAAAAATGTCCCCACAAGGTCAACATGTACTAGAATTTGTATATTGTGGGGACATATGGACATATTCTATATTATATTGTGGGGATATTTTGTCCCTAAAATGTAGGGAATACATCCACTACCTGACAAAAGTTGTGTTGCGTATTTTAGGAACAAAAAAAATCTTGACTTCTAGCTGATCGTTTATAAAAATATGTCTTACATAAAAAGCAAATGCCTCTAGATTATGCTCTTTTTACTAAGGTAAACTATGATTGTGCTTTGACTTTTAATTACTTAATTAGGACAGTAAGGTCTGACTTTGCTTAGACAAAAATCTTTTCAATTAACAGAAATAATGTACAGTACAGAATGATGCAGTGGAAAAGGAATTAATGTTGTGAATGACTCCCATGAGCTTGGAGGACTGCATCCATGCATCTCTGCAGTGACTCAAATAACTATTATTATTAGTTAATTTATTATAAAAAAAGTCATCTGGAATGGCAAAGAAAGCATCCTTGCAGGACTCCTAGAGTTCATCAAGATTCTTTTAATTCATCTTCAATCCCTCCTCCTCCATCTTAACCCAGACATGCTTAATAATGTTCATATTTGGTGACTTGTCTGGCCAATCCTGGAGCACATTGACCTTCTTTGCTTTCAAAGGCTTTGATGTGGAGGCTGAAGTATGAGAAAAATTTGCCCTCTCCTGTGGTTTGTAATGTAACGGGCAGCACAAATGTCTTGATATCTCAGGCTGTTGATGTTACCATCCACTCTGCAGATCTCTTGCATGCCCCCATACTGAATGTAAAACCCCAAATCATGATTTTTCCTTCACCAAACTTGACTGATTTCTTTGAGAATCTCGGGTTCATGCAGGTTCCAATAGGTCTTCTGCAGTATTTGTGATCATTGAGATACAGCTCAACAGATGATTCATCTGAAAAATCTACCTTCTGCCACTTTTCCAAATAGTCAACTAGAAGTCAAGTTATTATTTAATGCTCTTACAACTAGGATCGATTTTTTTTGTCACACATTTTCCCCCCCATTTAAATAAAATGAAACACGAATTTGAAAATTGAGGTGAGCTTTAGTTTACTTACATGAAGATCCTTTGAACTTAAAGTAAAATGTTTGACACGTTAGTTTTAGTCTGTTTTAGGGATAGTACTAGTGTGCTCCAAAACAGAGACAAAGTTCATGTTTACAAAATATAAAACTGATATAAAATCCAAAGCTTGCAGTTTGTTGTTTCTACCTAAATGGATCATTGATTTTTTTCTTATCACCTCATACTTCAGTTTCTCATCACATCTAGACCAATCAAATGCTCTCTAGCATCTGAAATGCTTTACCACTTCATGATGCTTCTGTCAGACGAACGCTGTCAGACGAACACTGCTCAGACGAACACTGCTCACTTTAACGTTAATTTTGCCAAATAACGGTGCTGATTACTGGGTGACAAACTGTTATAATACGCTGAAAGCATTTTTTAAATAATAAATATAATCACTATAACTTGTTCCTAATACAACAACAAACTCTGTATTGCATTAAATGTCTTTACCTTGGTGCAAATGCTTGCGCTCCTGTTTTTTTCTGCAACCTCGCTGCACGCACATCCTAAATGTTTACAAACCGGTAATTCATCGATTGGCTGTTTTTATTTAAATTGGAGGATGTATGTGCCACTCTCTCTCAATTTTTTAAGTTGAGATTATGTCAAGCATCGAATAAAAATAAAAAATCCAAGCACTTCACAGGACATTTAATATTAACAAGTTCTTTTACATTTGCAATCATGCTGACATGCTGATATTCTGGCCTGATCTCATGAAAAAAACTTTTATTTTATTTTATTTTATTTTTTTATCTTTTGTCCGTTTAGTGGCTACTTCTTGCAAATTCAGTTGTGCGAATATGTACTTCAAAAGGAGGCCTGGCACCAAACCCCGTCCCTAAAACCAACTATCATTTGGGGATGAGCAAATCGTACTAAAATCTATGAATAAGTTTATACAAAATCGTATGAATGAATGATTTATGTACTCAACAAAAGGTTTTATATGATTATATCAACAATTACAATAATAACATGCATGCTTATGTGTTGTGTGTCACTGTGTTTTAGGTGTTTTCTGTGTGCTGAAAACTCACAGTTCCCCATGCGATCTGGGCTCCCAAGTCTCTAAAGTAGAAGGTTGCAGTGGTTCCCACAGGAAGCTCCTGAAGGATATCTTCATCTTTTAGGGGTTTTCCTTCTGAAATAATTATAAAAACACTTTGATATCTAACAGGAATACACAATTATCTTCTACTTAAAAGTTGCCACAATAGAAAAATCATTAAATATATGCTATAGAAGGGCTGGGCTGATAAACTATATTATATCAAATCGCAATAAAAAGTATGTCAATAGAAATTATAAGCTCTGGACTTTTTTACTCTAATTTGATCTAAGAGCCAATCACACAGCAGAAATAACAATGGGATACACCGATACGTTGTCATTTAATGGACCCTCTAATTTTGTGGATTTTGTCATTGCAGTGATAATCTTTTAAATATAGAAGAATTAACAACTGATATCAAAATATCATTAACGTTTAATATGGAAAATAACTATAGAGAATGCAGTTCTGCCATTTCACCTAGCCCTATGACATACTGCTAATGCTCTCCGTGTCTTTTATACCTTTTTATCTGCCCAGAGAATTTGGACAGATTACTGTCATTTTAACATACGTTCCAGGCCCAAAACATGAGGAAGCTGCAAGCAAAATAACAGCTATAATGACACCTTGGCTCGTTCATCGGATCAACCAATTTTAATTCTTGGGGATATGACCTTATGTGAGTTATCAAGCTACACTGTTAAAAATTGTCCCGTTAAAAAACAGTAAAATACTGGCAGCTGCAGTTGCCAGCAATGTACTGTTTTTTTACAGTATGTTGCTGTAAAAATACATGGACTACATTGATTTACACAATACTCAAGTGAACTCATTTTGCTCACTGAAAGCAACTGCCTCAACTTGGTCAACTGCTGAATGAGTTTATGAAGTAATGTGCTATATATGCTTAGAAGCATACTTATAATGATAACTTATTTTAGTTAATTAGAAAAGTTCGGTTTAACTCTAATGTCTTATTTTTCACAACAGCACACAAACATGTAAATCTGGAACTACCAGAGAGATTTTGACTGCATCAGCAACTAAACAGCCGCTATATTTAAATAGAGAAACATGCAGAATAACATCAGCAGTTCATTGTTCATCTTTAACTCATACACTGGCTCTACTCTCCTCCACAACGGTGGCAGACAGAAGAAATTAGCTTCAGGTTTAACAGTAAAAAACTGTTTTTTCCTTGATTTAACAGTAATCTACTGGCAGCTGTGGTTGCCAGCAATATACTGTTTTTTTACAGTCTACTTCCGTTGTGTAAATTAACAGTATATTACTGTTAAAATACATTTTTACACTGTGTTTTTACCTCTCACACCTTTAACCCTTTAAACCCCAGAGCATATACTTCAGTTTTAATTGAAGTGTCCACACTACTGAGTGTTCAAGAAACATGGAGCAAAGCTGAAGTAAATTCATTAATTAACTGACTAATTAAATGATAATTGAGGATTAACAATGAACAAATGAAGAAATACTGAAGGGAAAAAACAAGAACAGAACATACAAAACTTTAGTCACAGCTTTATAATGAAATAACCTGAAGAACAACAAATGATTAAATCATTTAAATGATCAGCGGATGATTAAACAACTCTACAAACATCATCACCAGCTACACTTATTACTTAATACATGTATTTTTGTATAACATCTACTAAAGTTCTTCTTGAGAAAAAGTTAAAGTTTTACGTCACCATCATGGAGAACAGAGTTTGCTTTAGTTGGGCTCTTAGCCCTGTCATTTTTATTGTTAATATATCTTGGCTGCTGCAATTGTTAAGAACTTTGTTTGAAAAGCTCTTTTGTTGTGGCAAGCCAGCCAAAAACCTAAATAAGATCTGGTGATGTTCATGTTGCTATTAAATGGCAGAGTCTGTTCTCATTTACTATAATAAAATTTACTGCTCCTATTCAATGTTAAATCTATTGTTTTACATTATATGTCTATATATGGCAATGATTTCTGGAAGTTTTTAAGAATATCTTGGACAATAACACTGCTCTATGGTGTAAATCGCACTCAAAGAGACATCAATATTCAGCGGATGAACCTCAATAATGGTGACAACAAATTTAACAAAATTTAACAAAATTAACAGTTTAACTCACAAACAGGCAACTGAAAGTCTAAACATAAACAACAGCAGAATCAAACACAAATAAAGAAAACCGTTAGACCATTATACAACATTTATTTATACCGCAATGCATGCTGGGATATTTGTACAGTGCCACTCCCAGCATGCATTGCAGCATGAAACATTTGAGATGTTACCATTGTTGAGATACAAGGTCAGATTCATGAGGTCTGAGTGTGTATTTGTCATAACTGAACTGTTTTTGTTTGTTACTTCTTAACTGTTAAGTAATTACGGAGGTATCTTTTCTGTTTCCACTTCTCATTAATTAATTTAATACCTGCAACTAAGTATAAAATCTATTGCATGAGGCCCTTCATCCAGATTTATACCAAAACATTTATCAGAACTAATTTCAGATAAATAAATTTCTCTATTTATTGACTTCCCAACTTTATTGCTATAGTACAAACGTTTTGTAAACTCTGTATTACAGCAGTTGGAAAGTCTTCTTAAATGAGTTCAAGGGTGAAGAGCCCAACTAAATCAGCCCCTCACTCCATTACGGTGACACAAAAAACACCTTAATTTCTGTTGGATCTCAATGAGAATAGTATGGAAGTCAAATCAGTCAGTAATAAGTGTGTGTCTGCTGTTGTTTGTGGAGTTGTTTAATGATCCTCTGCTAAGACTGAAGCTGTTTTATTTTATTTGATTTTATTTAATGTTGTAACTCAAGTCACTGTTTGTATTTCTTGTTTATTTTCTTCAGTAATTGTAATTATTAACAGCAGGTGTTCATCAGTGTCTGAATTCACTCATTAGTGTTCATTAAAACTGTCAGGTGAACTAGATTAGTTAACTAGTGTATGAAATAGTGAACAAGGACACAAAGCGTGATTTCAAACACAGACTTCAGAACATCGAATCTGAACTCTGTTAGCTCACAGTTTTCTGCAGTTGGTTACTTTCTCGAAAACAAAAATGTTACACAGAATGCACTGTTTTTAACAGAATATTACTGTTTTAGTGAAAAAACATTATTTTACCGTAGAATCTGACCGTTTTTTAACAGCAATTTTTTACAGTGTATTTGCCCACTTAACATAAGTATGTGGACTGTTGAGGAAGTCGGACCACAACATCATACACCTGTTACCCAAATATCGAGCTAAGTTTCAACAACAAAAAAAAAAAAAACAGTGACTAAAGAGATTATTATGGACAGATCAGAGCAAAGAGGAACTTAGGGACTGCTTTGAAGATACAGAGTGGCAAGTATTTTTGTTGATGCATGTGAAAATGTACATGAAACTACTGATACCATTACATCATACATACATTTTTGCAAGAGTAATTGTGTTGAGACTAAAACAATTCAGATGTACCCAAATAATAGGTTATGGTTTGCAAACAATCTTAAAACATGTGTAAATGAGAAAAAAACAGTTTTTTTAAATGGAGATACTGAATTAGAGAGAAAAGAAAGAAACTCAGGGGTCAAATTAAGAAAGCAGAATTAGCATACAAAGACACGATTGAGGATAAATTTTTTAAAGGTAATGATAAGAAGGCATGGGGAGGAATGAACAGTGTCATGGGAAGAAAGAAACAGCATGTTTATCACATGGTGCACCTATGGTAGAAGATTTACAGATTTTCTTTGCCAGGTTTGATAAAGGGGAATGCAAAACTGAAAGTGAGAAAATATGTTTTAATATTTCTGAACATGAGTTATTAAACTTAGTGAGAATGAAATAGCAGCCAGTCTTGCTAGGATCAAGCCAAATAAAGCACCTGGCCAAGATGGGCTTAAAGGTTGTGTGTTGAGAGATTGTGCTTTTTAGCTATCTAGTGTATTCACTCATTTGTTTCAGCTTTCGTTGGACTCTAAGGTGGTTCCAAATTTATTGAAAGAAACAAAAAAATTTCCAGTACCTATAATGTCTAATGCCAATCAGTTAAAAGATTTTAGATCAATAGCTCTTACATCTATTTTGGGTAAATGTATGGAAAGAGTATTATCAAGGCACATCTGAAACAAAGTGGTCAAAGATTTGGACCCCCTTCAGTTTGCATACAGGGGAAAGAGGGGCACCGATGATGCTGTAATGACTTTGTGTGATTTTGCTGCTGAACATATCCAACAGACTACAAATTATGTTAGGATTTTATTCATAAATTTTAGCTCAGATTACTTGATTTAGGAGTGAATGGTGATCTTATTTAGTGTGTTAGAGCCACTAGCAATGTATAAAATTATCCAATACTGTACTAAGTTTCTGCAACTATATAATATTACAATACACTGCAGTTTACTGTATTAAAATAAAGTTTACTACAGCATTTACTACAGTTTATCAGTACGCTGTTGTTAATACTACAGTACGCTCTAGCATTCATTAACAAAGTGTTGTAAATACTGTAGTATATACAGTTTAATGCACTTTTAAAGGACTGTATTTTTTCATGTAAGTGACTTTAATCACAAGTCACCCCTCCATTACTAATCGAGATTTAATTTAGATTTAATCTCTTACATGGGAGGTGTATGCATTAACCACAATGCTAAAAGCCACAGTCTCACCATCAATGGTTAGTACAACACTTGAAGAAACTATCCGTAGTTTTACAGATCTTACTAGCTGACTGACCTCCCTTACATTTACTCCCATCCATTATAGGTGCACATTACCTTAAAACCACAATCATAACCATCTGTGGCTAGTGCACTTTTTGAGTCCATGAGGAGTTTTAACTGTATAGGTCTTACAAGCTAACTTCAGTTACACTTTGCCTTAACATCACTCTCACATGTGTCACAAGCTTTAGTGTCAACACTCTTGTTCTGTTGTACAGTATGACTTCAAGCTAGCTTTAAACAGACATTTCCGGTGCAGTGAGGTGTGTGTGCTGATATGGTCACAACCATCATTGGTCTCCATTACACAGTAATGTCACCATTTCAGTTCTATACTCACACCACTCACAGCAGGATTTGAACTGGTGTTTTTGTCATGGGAACTATTTTTTACTTCGCTGTAAGAAAGTTTTCTTTTACTGTTCTACTTAACTCTACAAAGAAACAAATGTTTATTTTAGAAAACTTTTTTACCTTTAAAGAGATAACTTTTTTAATGGCCTACATCTCTTAAATCAAGCTCGGGTTCATTAAAAAAAAGTAATTTTGAAGAGCAGAAATTGTCACCTGCTCAAAAACAAGATATTGATGTTTAATTAATGCATTCTTTATCAGTTTTAACCTGTTCAATTAGTTTACAGATTAATTGGCACTTGCACGTAACAATTAATTTATGAACTGAACTAACATTTGTGGATGAGTCAACATCTTACTTATTCAAATGATCTATTCAAAGCAAGGCCGGAGTGGGACTCCTTTTCAGCCCTGCAGTTTCAAGCCTCAGACTGGCCCACCTCAGTTCACGACTGACTATATTAAAATAAGGTCATTTCCAATTCAGTTTCTTATTACACTATCACATCTTTTTTTTGAGAAAACAGCTGCTTTAGAACTTCAAATGTTCAACAACCCTAACAGTATTATATGTCTTAACAATAAAAATGAAAAAAAAAGTTACTCTAGTGAGGATCAAACCCAGATCAGAGGTGTCATAACCTATTGTCCTAACCACTGGACCACAACAGCTGTACATTAATTGGTGACTCATCTAAGTTACATCATCACTAACCTGCAGGCTGCATCTTGCTCACGAGGCTGTGATAACATAGATAGAAAGAGCAGAGCTGCGGTAAAATAAATTAATTTAAAAAGTGTGACTGCTGAGAGCTACAGATTCTGGAGCTAGGGACACCGGCCCTTGCCGCAAAAAAACGGACCAGCCCACCGGGAATTCTCCCGGTCCTCACGATTAGCCAATCCGGGCCTGATTCAAAGTGGGACTAAACATCCCATTAATCCAAATGATCTGTTCAGAGTGAGACTCCAAAAAACAATTACCTGATTTTACCAACTGATCTGAATAGGTTTCACGTTATGAATGTGGTTGTAGATGTTTTCACCTTAATTATCATGAATTATCAGTGCGGTTGTTAGAGTATTTGTTAGAGAATTTGTCATTGAGTTTTCAGCACATCTGTTAATTTATAAATAATCTCATAAATAATCATAAAGTCCTCGTGCTGCAGGAATTAGGAGGTTTGCTAAAGGTGCAGCTGTCGTGCAGTGCAGGGGGTTTGTGTCTTTAATCATCTAGGGCAGTTTGCATTCATTGAACAGTAAGAATGATTAATAAATCCACATGAAACAATCGCGTAAAAGTCACATCTCATCTTCCGTTTCGGGCTCATGTGCCGTTTGCACTCACACTACAAGCGTACCGCGCCTGAGCCCAAGTGAACCGCGCTCTGGCACACCTCTTCAAACCGGGCCAGGGCCGGTCAAGTGAATTGTGCCTGGGCCCAACCCCTCACTACACGACAGCTGCACCTCTAAGCAAACCTTATAATTCCTGCAGCACGAGGCCTTTATGGTTGTTTATGAGCGTCAAAAGTGGCTGATCTGTTTGGCAAAATATTTGACTGCGTGTCACTGCATCCCAAACGACTAAAACAATATAACTAAAGAAATCTCCACTGTACAGAGTGAGAGCGATTCTTACTAAACAGCCTCAGGCTCAGGAGAGAATGCAATGTGACAGGAGGGGGACAAGCGTGCTTCGGCACTGGTTCAAGGCATTTGTACATAGTGTGAGTACGCCCTAAGGTTTACCTTAACAGCACTTACTAGCTGGCCTCTTCTTTGATGTTTTTGTCATTAGCATGGCCACTAAAGTTTTTTTCTGGATTTTAACATTTGTGATAATGAATGACATTGTTCTGGCAGTAATTGGATAATTAAAGGCATATTGTGCCTTTAACAACGAAATTAATATTTTCTCCCATCTGGGTCACTTCACGTGGGATTTGAACTGTTGTTTCAACAATCAAAGTGGATCTGCTAGAGAGGACATCCCAAACCCCAGTTTCTAGTGGTGTGATGTTTTTTAAATCAAGCTGGCCTGTACTCTAATACCATATTCATACCACTCAATTTTGATCATAAACCTTGATTCCACCAACATTTCCAAAGAAAGCTAAAAACCATACCCTTTAATTTGCCTGTTCTTTTAGGAATAGTTCAAAAATGAATGTTCTGCTGTAATTTACTCATCCTCCATTTGTTCCAAAGCTGTCTAAGGGTGCTTTAACACATGTGAATCGGTTAATTTGTTCCAAAACAGGGATTTTAATTTTTTGGGTGAACTATCTCTTTAAGGCCAGTAGAGTAAGATTTACCCTCACAGCTCTATATTAAGTGATCTCTATGACACTCACACCTCTAAACCTCACTCCTATCTGGGTCACGGCACTAGCGTCACCCCTCTGGATCTACTAATATTACTTGAAGCTGGATTCAACTGGTGTAACCGGCACAGGAAGTTGGGGGACCTAAAAATAAAAACTGTTTGACTTCATGGTAACTTCAACAGTACGAAGTCAGCATGTCATTAACATGATCCATTAACGTTATAAAGTTCATATACTCACTTGGGTCCAGGCATAAAGACTGCCTGGCAGGATACCAGTGTGGATCTGCAGAAACAAAAGCCTGACATGTAATACTTCATCAACTTATCATCTTCCTTGTAGAAAGCTATTTATAGAAAGGCTTTACAATGCTTCAGCATACAGCATAACTTACTTGATTTGTGGAACATAGACTTAATGTCCAGAATCGTGGCTGTTGGCTCTACCTGTAGAAAAATGTTAAGATGCTAAATAGCTAAGACATGCTAGCATAAACCACATTATTCCGCAGCACTGTGTGTATAGAGTTGTCCATTGCAGTTTTCCACATGCCATCATAAATCAGGCTTACTATATTCTCACCATGCATTTCTGAGAAATAGATCCTACATAGGAATCTGCAGAAGCGCGGGGGTCATTCTCATATTACAAAACCAACACGACTAATGCAAAAAATGGATGATTGTTATTTCAAAGCTACAGCAAGAGCATTAGCTGAGCTCATATTATAGTTGATATATCCATCTGTCATGAATAACAGCTGATGATTACAGAAGATCTTTGAATTGTGTTCACCCTAAGTGGGTCGCAATCTAAACAAAGTACTATTTTAAATCAAGAAAATGATGACATGAGTTATAACAATGTTTGAATAGTACATACGCATTCTTAAAGCCATAATTCTGTCATCATTCACTCACCATTTACTATTTAAGTATCTTTCTTCTGTTAAACACAAAAGAATTATTTTAAGAAATACAAAATAAATTATTTAATTTCTACTATGCAAGTCAATGGGTGCAAGCAACCAGCAGTGCTTGTGTTCAACAGAAGAAAGAATCTCATAAAGGTTTAAAACTACTCCTTAATTCTAATAATAACAATTGTTATTATTAATTTGTCAAAAAATGCATCTTGATTTAGGAATGTTTAGATATGTGGACTAGAAATAAGCAGTGAAAGCACATACCTTATCCAGCAGTAGTAGTTTTTCCCTGGTTTTGACATCCAGTATCTCCACCTCAAAGTATACAATCCGTTTGGCTTTTTTTGGAGGTTTTGGTCTGGGTTTTGGAGGTGGAGCAGCAGGAGCAGGAGCCGCCGAACCTTCACCCTTGGCTCCTTTCGCTTCTAAAGCTAAAGCATCCATGATAGCTCCTCAAATGTATCGAACACCGAATTTAGCCTTAAATCCGTATGTTAAAGTTTGGTCACTCTCTACATATCACCTCAGATCTTCGAAATAAAAAATCCAAATCAACGTCCTCAATGTTAAACAGAGCAGACTGAGTCTAAAGTGAGAAGAAGCAACAGTATGAGCGAGCGCAGTGTGATTGAAATATCTGCCACCTCTTAACACCTGAGGGCTGGCCATCGCAACCACTCCTATGAAGATGAAATACGAGAGTCCCAAGACATAATCCGTGGCTTTTCATGCAGCTAAATTTATATGCCTGCTTTGCTGAATACCAGCCCCGTGACCTTGTGGGATCCGGTCCAGTAGGACGTAGCTCATACATCCACACAGTTATACTGAGGGATAGTGTGTATCTGTAAGGCAGAGAGAGAATATTAATACATCTGCCTTGCAAGCACTGTTATGTAATAGCTCCATCAGAATGCAGGACATCTATTTGAGTTTGTCCATGGCCACACTAGCAATTAGACTTCTTGGTCTCTAGAGGTTTTAGATGTTTTAGGCAAGTCTCTTTGTGTGCGAGAGCCGCAAGTAGATGAGACACAGGGCTATTGGCAAATAGAGTTATCTGGTTTATTTACAGGGCAGTTTCCATCACCTGTCCTCAAGTCTTAAGGAAAGTATGCACAGAACAATGTTGTGTAAGGAGTAAAGGACAACAGGTTGCTGAATTTGTTTGAGTACAGTAAACACCCAAGGTGGTGATGTGGTAACTTACTGGAATTATTTAAAACATTTCAATACATCTGTCAGGGTTTTGATTTCACCCCAAGCCTTTGTTGCTATTGTAAAAATGCCATTTTGTAGCTAGTAACAAAGGGGTTAGCTATTGATATGATAATGTGTGCTATATGTGTGTGTATGTGGGAACAGGAGAAAAAGGAGGCATTACATACATTTTTAAGGGGATATTTCACTCAAAAAATATAATTTAATTCCCATTTACTCAACCTCAAGTGGCTCCAACTCATTATGAGTTTTCTTTTTCAAAAACACTAAATTATTTTGCTGGAAATTGGCAACATTGACTTCAATAGTAGGAAAACAACTATTTTGATGTATTGATATGGAATTGTAATGCAATTTAGATCTGCCTGGAATTATTTTAATATGTCACAAAAACAGCCTTCTTTCCTCTCAGAAATATTAAGCTATGAAGCATGCTATCTATCTTAGATATATCTTAGCAAAATATATAGTTCATGCTTTTATGTCCTTTAGGCTGGATTACTCTGTTCAATGGTTCTAGTGCATTTGCTATTAATAAACCTCCAATTCCAGTGCAAAATGCAGCTGATAGATGAGATCTTACCAGTTTAAGAAAATATGATCATATCACCCCTATTTTATCTTCATAACTTAAAATAGTGGTTCTTAATTATAAGGCTTTAAATCAATGGTCTCAAACTCAATTACTGAAGGGCGGCAGCTCTGCATAGTTTAGCTCCAACCACCTCTAACTTACATCTGCTTAATAGTCTCTAGTAGTCTTGAACACCTTGATTGTTTGGATCAGCTGTGTTTAATTAGGCTTAGAGCAAACTGTGCGGAGCTGCGGCCCTCCAGGAATCGAGTTTGAAACCTATTCTTTAAATAGACTTGCTCCTCTTTATCTAACTAGCCGTCTGCCACACTATGATCCCATATGGACTCACTGCCCGATTCCGGCCCGAGTCAACCAGGCATGATGTGGCGGCCGTTAGCGCGCCAATGCTGCCGCATGCATGCCGGAATTGGCTTGCTATGCTGCAAGTAGGTAATGTGTGCTGCAGCCAGGAGCTGGCGCGATTGAATCTTCATTATAAAAAAACTTCACCTAACAGCAAACACAGGCTACTATGTAAACGCAAACTGAGTTTAACCTTTGAATAAAAATGGAAACAGCATACATTTGGACTGCAAATATTCAAATAGGACAAAATAAATTAGAATATTTCACAAGTATTAAGCAAATAATAATAAAATTGAATACATTTTGTAGTGCACAAGAATTAAGAATTTTAAAATAAAAACAACAATAAAGCTGCATGATAAATGACAAATAAACTAATTTAAGTACTGGGAAAAATACAGATGATCGATATCTAGCAGTTATTCTCTTTATGTGTCTAAATAATAATTAGGAAGACAAAACTACTGTTAGCCGATCTCCACAATGATCTCCTTTTTGAACTTGATTTACAGGATGTCTCTGCATTTTGATTTTCGGTATGTTATTGAGTTATTCTACTGAATTTGCTGTTATAAACTATAAGGTTCTAGAAACCGAATCTTATATAATACAGCTGTAAATGTTAAATATTATTTATTTACATCATTTATTTATTTGAAAACTCCTACTAAACATTAAAAGGAATGTAAATACCTCTTTGCCAGATATAATGAAGGCATCGAATTAACCAAATGAAAAAAAAAATAATTCAAGCCAACAAGCAAAAATCAATAAACAATAAAGGCTAGCCTACTAGCGATGTTGCAGCTTCTGATCGACATTGTATTATTACTGCGAAGTTTTTAGTACAAATTGACAAATTGCAGGGTTGGGATGTGTAAATATCCTGTTGATAATTAGAAATCTTGCTGTATTTATCTCCTAAATGCACGACTGTTCCCGCATGGTAAATCGTTTTTAAACCCTATATTATTGCGTGTTTTTAAACGTAAGTGCTCATATTTACATTAGTGAGCCTTTGTTATAGTGCAGATACCGGCGGTCAAGTGAGAAGTTCGGGGGGCGTAGTTGATTTTACATAAAGCGTTTGGTTGGAAGCTTAATTCTACGGCTCCTCCTCTGGCTCCATCAGACACTCCTTCTGCGCATGTCAGGCTCCAATTTCAGCAGTTGTTAGCGACAGTTTGTGCCCATCAAACAGGCGTTTTGCCCTCAAGGCGTTCAATGGAAAAGGAGGCTGTCCATATTTTTTACAGTCATTTAAGCAAACCTGTGGTCGTTAAGTGCGTGAAGTGTCCATCATTACACACTTCATTTTACTGGCTGAATGAGTGTATCATCCGGGTAATTAAAGTGCAATTAATATTTTTACAATTTTCAGTGTGAATGCAGTACTTGCACTGTTTATACTACAAAATGGCTTAGAATAGTGCATAAGTACAAGTATGCGATTTGGGACGCAGCTTATCTGTATGAACCTGTAAAGCACAGATTCATTAAAACACACATATTTCACTGAAGGATTCAGATTTCTGCTTTCCAATCCGTCTCATCCTGGACCAATGTTTATCATTTTCATCATGCTGTTTTTCAGTATTTAACTGTGAATTAATTTTAATTAATGAATAAGTTAACACATTGCTTAATATAAGAATGTTCAGTGCACTTGCCTGTCTCTTTATAACTATTTTCAGAAGCCATCAAACTAGGTCAGAGGTCACAGAGACCTTGAGTGGAGCTAAGGACTGAGGACTGGAAGCAACTTTTTCTATTGTTATTTCTACAAGTTAATACTATCTAAAATGTCTAAAGAGATTTTGCAATTTTTACGGTAAATTCTTTTAAAGTGATTCTACTTTTTATTCAAGATAGACTTTGTGTAGTAAGGATTATAACATCCTGAATGTAGATTATACCGGTTTTTGACCAGTTTTGATAAAGACGGCTGAGAGTACACTCAGCCTTGGATAAGAAACAGATTATACTTTAAGTGTGTGTGTTCTATTTGATTGTTAATTCGTTTCACTGCTCTGGAGTCAGCTCTAATCAGTCTGAGAGATTTCTGACGTTTATGCTTAAGATATTGTTCAGAATATACGCACAAACCCCACGTGGAATTTTTCCTATTCTATCTGTGTTTTAACCAATCATATGTATGACGCAGTTAATGACATTATGTGAGAGAATAATTGTTATTGATTGGTGATTGGAAGCAGAGCGGCCTAGGAACTCATTGCGAGTGTTGAAGCTGGCTTCTGCTGATGAAACTGCTGATGAGTCTTCAGTTAACTTGATTTATTTAAATCTCTGACTCCAGTTCTTTTTCATCTACCAGACTGGTCATTCTTTGGGTTAAACTGTATACCATCCCTACAATGCATTTAGTTAAACTGTAGTAAAAGTAAAACATGATGGTAAAACGAAAAAAAAATGGTAAAACAATGGTAAAACGATTGTAAAACAAGGGTAAAACGATGGTAAAACGATGGTAAAACGATGGTAAAACGATGGTAAAACAAGGGTAAAACAATCGTTTTACTATTGTTTTTACCGTTGATTTACAATGGTAAAGCAATCGTTTTACCCTCGTTTTACCAATGTTTATTTACCATCCTTTTACAGTTATTTTACTAATGTTTTACTATTTTACCCTTTGTTTTACCATTGTTTTACTATCGTTTTACAATCATTTTGTTTTACCATCATTTTACAATTGTTTTACTATTATTTTACTATTTTACCCTTTGTTTTAACATTGTTTTACCCTCGTTTTACCATTGTTTTACAATCGTTTTACCTTTTGTTTTACTATTGTTTTACCCTTGTTTTACTAGTTTACTATAGTAAACTAGTTTTACTATGGTTTAGTGTGCATTTAGTTAAACTGTAGTAAAAGTAAAACAATGGTAAAACAAGGGTAAAACGATGGTAAAATAAAGTTTAAAATAGTAAAACAATGGTAAAACAATTGTAAAACGATGGTAAAACAAGGGTAAATGATGGTAAAACAATGGTAAAACAATGGTAAAACGATGGTTTGCAAACATTTACATTAAAACATTTACAAATAAAACAGAATACAGTCTCTACAAACTATAGTTCCTTTTTAAACAATAATTATGATTGAAATATATAACAAATGCATAAGAGAAATAAGGGGAAATGAGAGGTTAATATAAATATAAAACCGAACAGGTTTATTAAATACAAAGCAATAAGCACAAATTCTAGGAGTTTAAACATCACTCTTTGGGCCAATACTTCTTGTTTGAATATGCTAAAAAGGGGTTTACATTTATGTACATTTAAAGATATAAAACTTTCCAATGTAAAACGCAAAACGAGGTGTTTTGATTAAATCTTAATGAATAAGATTATTTTGGATAATGAAAGCATTTTCAAAAAAAGCACTTTAATCCAAAAAGATTGAACAAAAGGTAAAATAAGTGAGCTACACTTTAAGCAGATGTTTCCCAGAAAGAGCAGGTTTAACCCTTTCAGGCTCAAAATAAATTTTAGAAACAGACAAAGTCTATGGTTTTAACTGTTGCAAATCAGCAGCGCCTGCCTGGAAAGGGGTAAATGGCTAGACAGGACATAAAATATATATTTATATTATAATCATAAAATCATTTTGAAATGATTGCAATAAAA